TATGCTTGAACTTTTCAGTTTCTAAGCTATTTTATTGAGAAATCACAGAACATTGTTGACAATACATTTCCGCGCTGAATGATTCTGTGCGTGTGATGTACGCGCTACTGTCTGTAGCCTATGTGTGTGCGTTACAGTGCAGCAGCGCATTCGATTAGAACGGCGATTAACGTACCTGTGCAATAAGCTGTTTAAAACATGCAATGTCCCGTTCAATTTCGAGCATCCAGTAATATAATCACACATGTCTTGTGGAGCGCTTTCAGAGTATGCATTTATTTGTCATTTGAACTGTTTGGAAACGGAGCGTAAATGTGGAAGTCCTTCAAAGATTTCTTATCCTGTTGCGCCCTCTATAGGACCAGCGACTAGTCGACGTCAAGCTTAAAGCGTCATGGCAGAGAAGTAGACTAGTCGATTAGTCGGTGCAACACCTACTATAAACACATACACGCAGAGCTAGATAGATATATATACAATTAATTTTAATATATAATACTTTTCTATATACAGTTACATAAAAATAATTTGAAACAGATTCTTCTAATTTTACTAAGCTAATTATTATTTATATAATTCATGACATACCTGGGAACAAATAATTATTAGATTATTTTTTATTAAATGAATACTAAAATAATAGTTAATAGTCAATAGTCGATGTTTATGTTTGTCTGAATGTGGAATTGTACATAGCAGAGGGTTTAGTGGTTTTAGACACACTAAGCTAAGAAGAAAAAAAAAAAGCACACATTAGCAACAATAACAGGCATGCAACACACGCTATAAAAGGAGTTCATCGGTTCAATCTTAAAAACAGATTCTCTGCAGACAAAATGATTCTAAAAACAACATTGAAAAACTCATCTCAATCTCATAAATCCAAAATTATTCTCTCTGACTGAGGGGCAAAATACAGTCTCTCAGATCAATATTCCACCAGCTGTGTGCTAAAATCTTCTATTAGCATGCTTAAGCACTTTCACGTCTCCTTTTCTTGGGGACAAGTGTGCAAAAAGTGCTAATGCCCCATTTTCTTCAGTGTGACATCCCACCCCTCACCTCTTCCTCTCTTTCATCTCTCTCTGCCTCAGGTGATGATTTGGGAAAAAATATGGTCTTCTATATTTAGCAACAAAAAGCCTATCTGAGAAAAAAAAAAACACACACACCACCTTACATCAACGAGCCATTTCCCGTTTTCTCTCAGTATCTTGCGAGTACACTACCTGGAATCTTAAGTACAGTCATCGCTCATCATGTGCAGAACAAACTCGTTGACCATTGTCTCACCGTGAGCTGATCGGCAGACTGAACGTCTAGCGAGCACTAATTAAGCGCTGACCTGCAGTCTTGACTATTTAATGGTTGATTGAAGTAATATGAATGTTTCTTCTAGAGTCACACAGAGGTGAGATTGTGTCTAATAGCGAGTACAAAAAAACATCTCGCCTCACGATGGAAAGCTCAGGTCAGTCAGTGCAAAGAACGATGGACTCCTTCAACCAAGTCCTTAAGTATTTCAGCTAACACAAATGGATGCTAAAGGGGCATTTACATAGCATTGGAAGTCATTTATTTTAATGAGAGCTGGTATAGTGAACAGTGCTATAAAATTTCAGAGGGAAAAAGCAAAATCTTCTATCCTCAACTTTATGTGCTGTACCTTCTCTCTTCATGCCCATGGCCAAACACTTCTGATAGCGGCAGTACTGGCAGCGGTTGCGCTGGCGTTTGTCGATAATACAGTCCTTGCTGTCTCGACAAGTGTAGGTCAGGTCCTTACGCACAGTCCTCTTGAAGAAACCCTTGCACCCCTCGCAGCTGTACACACCGTAGTGTTTACCTGTTGAAAAAAATGCAAACACAGAAGCCTAAGGAGTTATGTTCAGGTCTACAATGGTAATAATTCATGGAACAGGGATTGTGGGATTTGAACCTACAACCTTTCAGCTGAAGTGCGTTAAAATACCGTCTTCTATCCCAGCTTAATATTCCAAGACAACTTTAAGTATCATCTTGTAGTGTAAACACTGTCTCTGTGCTGCTTACAAAATATTGCACTGTTTCCCTGCTGAAAAAAACTGTTTAAACCAGCCTAAGCTGGTTTTAGCTAATTTCCCAGTCTGACTGAGTTCGTTTAACTAGCCAACTAGTTAAAAAGTTCCCAAAATCCCTCTAACACCACCCAAAAGAGGATCTTAAATGGACTAGAAAACTAGCTTCCATCCCAACCAGCCATGCATTGCAACATTAGAACAACAGTTTGCATTTGGGGCTGGATTCTTCGTTTGCATGTATATACTAACCTAAGCAGGACTTAGCTGGTTTAAGATGGTTTCCCAGCCTGATTTAGCTTGTTTAGCTGACTAACCAGTTGAAAAGTGCCCAAAACCCTTCTAAAACCACCCAAAAGATTACCTTGACCAGGCTAAAAGATCAGCTAAGACCGGAAAACCAGCATAGACTGGTGTTTAAGCTATTTTTCCATTCCAACCAGCCCTGTACATCAACACTGGCCTAACAGTGTCTATTTGAAGCTGAACTGTCTGTTTGCACTTATAAACGAGCCTAAGCCTGATTAGGCTTGTTTAGCTGGGCAACCGGCTGAGAAGTGCTCAAAACCCCTCTAAAAGACCATCTTGACTAGGCTAAAAGACTGTCCAAGACCAGAAACCCAGCTTATAAACTATTTTTTAAGCAGTTTTTTCCCACCCCAACCAGCCTTGAGCAAGCAACGGTTGCAAAATGTTGTACGTTTGGGGCTGGACTACTGGTTTACATGTATAGTGTGTGTTTTGGCACCTGAGGAGCGGTCGCCGCAGATGGCACAGATGTGTTTGGTGAGGGAAAGGGGGGTGCCCAAGGGCTGGGCTGGCACCTTCATCACACCGTTGATGCCCAGGGGTGGCTTGATATCTTCTGAGCTGCTGACAGAGTTCATGGGCGAATTCAGCTGCAAAACATAAGCAAACAAACAACACATAATTTAGACACGTCAACGTATCAGCTCTAAGGACCTGACTGAAAGAAAGCCTGAGTTCCAGAAGGCCCTGACTTTTCTGTCAATTTCTTCAGTACGGGGCCAGCGTTGAGATTTCAGATTGACTTTGTGCCACAAGACCTAGGTTTCTCTCATCTGATTACGCTCTCTCGCCTACTTCCTCTGAATGTAAGTACAAGAAATGGATGCTGAGTGTGTCCCTAGCCTCATTTTTTCATATCCAGCACCAGCAGTGCACGTTCTATGCTAGAATGGCGGCAATAAAATATTTAGTGGGACAGTGGAATAAAGACGTGGTTCTGTTTCTCTCTCTTTCTCTCCAAGCTAAAATGTGTCTGGCTGCCCTCGTCCAGACATTCTTTCGCTCTCACATGTGTATTTTGAATGAGAAGCACATTAAAAGTTACATTTCAGTGAAAATGACAGCTAAATTAATCACAAATGTTTATTAATCAATGTGAGCCAATGTTTTTGCACATTTTATTCTACCATTCCATTCAACAATTTTGCAAGAAGCAATCATAATAACAGTCACATTCTGTTCATTTCACCCAACACGTGTTCATATTCAATTACACACTTTAATTTTATCAGCGACACAAGGGTTTTGTGTAAATGAAATTTGCCGATGTGTTGACACTGTCCCTAAGGGTCCAACAGGCTGTTCTACATCAAAAAACCTGACAGATGCCATCTTGACTTTGGGGAGTGAAAAGTCAGTGAAAAGTCTTGTGATAAGAAGCGTGGTCACTCTGCATTGGTAACAGTGATGTTTGCATGCATTTGACTTTCCTTCTCTTTTATTTATATTATAGTAGATGTTTTACCAACAACTGATTTGTCGGAAGGCTCTTAAAAGCGTGACACAGACTTGGTAAAGGCCTTGGGACTGTGCGTGTTCTTGGCCACGAGACAGAAACACTCATGTGAGAGCCTCCAAAGTCTTGTTCTCATGCTTTAGCCAGAACACAGTTAGCAGTCAAAGTAGAGAGAGGGGCCTGATAAAGACCCCATTTAGACCAAAAGGAGCATCGTCACTTCCCACTTCACACCACGGCTATGTGTTGACGTTAGTGCAAGAGACATGCAGACTTGCTAGACTTATGTGGAGTGCCATGTAGCCAGAGGACACTGGACACAGACAGACTACTGTACCCCCACCACAATGTACAAAATATATTGTTTAAGAGCATTCTGCAATGGAAATTACATTTCAGTCCTTGCTGTCTCGACAAGTGTAGGTCAGGTCCTTACGCACAGTCCTCTTGAAGAAACCCTTGCACCCCTCGCAGCTGTACACACCGTAGTGTTTACCTGTTGAAAAAAATGCAAACACAGAAGCCTAAGGAGTTATGTTCAGGTCTACAATGGTAATAATTCATGGAACAGGGATTGTGGGATTTGAACCTACAACCTTTCAGCTGAAGTGCGTTAAAATACCGTCTTCTATCCCAGCTTAATATTCCAAGACAACTTTAAGTATCATCTTGTAGTGTAAACACTGTCTCTGTGCTGCTTACAAAATATTGCACTGTTTCCCTGCTGAAAAAAACTGTTTAAACCAGCCTAAGCTGGTTTTAGCTAATTTCCCAGTCTGACTGAGTTCGTTTAACTAGCCAACTAGTTAAAAAGTTCCCAAAATCCCTCTAACACCACCCAAAAGAGGATCTTAAATGGACTAGAAAACTAGCTTCCATCCCAACCAGCCATGCATTGCAACATTAGAACAACAGTTTGCATTTGGGGCTGGATTCTTCGTTTGCATGTATATACTAACCTAAGCAGGACTTAGCTGGTTTAAGATGGTTTCCCAGCCTGATTTAGCTTGTTTAGCTGACTAACCAGTTGAAAAGTGCCCAAAACCCTTCTAAAACCACCCAAAAGATTACCTTGACCAGGCTAAAAGATCAGCTAAGACCGGAAAACCAGCATAGACTGGTATTTAAGCTATTTTTCCATTCCAACCAGCCCTGTACATCAACACTGGCCTAACAGTGTCTATTTGAAGCTGAACTGTCTGTTTGCACTTATAAACGAGCCTAAGCCTGATTAGGCTTGTTTAGCTGGGCAACCGGCTGAGAAGTGCTCAAAACCCCTCTAAAAGACCATCTTGACTAGGCTAAAAGACTGTCCAAGACCAGAAACCCAGCTTATAAACTATTTTTTAAGCAGTTTTTTCCCACCCCAACCAGCCTTGAGCAAGCAACGGTTGCAAAATGTTGTACGTTTGGGGCTGGACTACTGGTTTACATGTATAGTGTGTGTTTTGGCACCTGAGGAGCGGTCGCCGCAGATGGCACAGATGTGTTTGGTGAGGGAAAGGGGGGTGCCCAAGGGCTGGGCTGGCACCTTCATCACACCGTTGATGCCCAGGGGTGGCTTGATATCTTCTGAGCTGCTGACAGAGTTCATGGGCGAATTCAGCTGCAAAACATAAGCAAACAAACAACACATAATTTAGACACGTCAACGTATCAGCTCTAAGGACCTGACTGAAAGAAAGCCTGAGTTCCAGAAGGCCCTGACTTTTCTGTCAATTTCTTCAGTACGGGGCCAGCGTTGAGATTTCAGATTGACTTTGTGCCACAAGACCTAGGTTTCTCTCATCTGATTACGCTCTCTCGCCTACTTCCTCTGAATGTAAGTACAAGAAATGGATGCTGAGTGTGTCCCTAGCCTCATTTTTTCATATCCAGCACCAGCAGTGCACGTTCTATGCTAGAATGGCGGCAATAAAATATTTAGTGGGACAGTGGAATAAAGACGTGGTTCTGTTTCTCTCTCTTTCTCTCCAAGCTAAAATGTGTCTGGCTGCCCTCGTCCAGACATTCTTTCGCTCTCACATGTGTATTTTGAATGAGAAGCACATTAAAAGTTACATTTCAGTGAAAATGACAGCTAAATTAATCACAAATGTTTATTAATCAATGTGAGCCAATGTTTTTGCACATTTTATTCTACCATTCCATTCAACAATTTTGCAAGAAGCAATCATAATAACAGTCACATTCTGTTCATTTCACCCAACACGTGTTCATATTCAATTACACACTTTAATTTTATCAGCGACACAAGGGTTTTGTGTAAATGAAATTTGCCGATGTGTTGACACTGTCCCTAAGGGTCCAACAGGCTGTTCTACATCAAAAAACCTGACAGATGCCATCTTGACTTTGGGGAGTGAAAAGTCAGTGAAAAGTCTTGTGATAAGAAGCGTGGTCACTCTGCATTGGTAACAGTGATGTTTGCATGCATTTGACTTTCCTTCTCTTTTATTTATATTATAGTAGATGTTTTACCAACAACTGATTTGTCGGAAGGCTCTTAAAAGCGTGACACAGACTTGGTAAAGGCCTTGGGACTGTGCGTGTTCTTGGCCACGAGACAGAAACACTCATGTGAGAGCCTCCAAAGTCTTGTTCTCATGCTTTAGCCAGAACACAGTTAGCAGTCAAAGTAGAGAGAGGGGCCTGATAAAGACCCCATTTAGACCAAAAGGAGCATCGTCACTTCCCACTTCACACCACGGCTATGTGTTGACGTTAGTGCAAGAGACATGCAGACTTGCTAGACTTATGTGGAGTGCCATGTAGCCAGAGGACACTGGACACAGACAGACTACTGTACCCCCACCACAATGTACAAAATATATTGTTTAAGAGCATTCTGCAATGGAAATTACATTTTCAACGTCTCTTAAATAGCATGGAAGACTCCTTTGTTTTGCTAAAGCTAATTTCTCAGCTAGCATTTTGCTTAACTTAAATACACACAATTATTTTATACAAATGACAACAAAAATACTTTTTTTTTTCAATCACACATGAAGTTTCATATTTCATCTTAACCTTTCTCCTAGGTAAAAGTACGATAATTTTTACAGTAAGCTTTATTCATTTTATTAGTTTATTGGTAAAGTTCTAATTTAGTTAATTACTGCCCAACTAGGGGGTAGTCAAAAAATACAGAAATAGTTTGTGAATTCACTTTTGTTTAGGTCATTTTAAAAAATGTCTTAAGATCAAAATATATTGAAATCTACATTAAAGAAAAAAAACCCTTCATATAACAAAAAGTTGGTTGGTTGGGTTGGCAAGTTTCCAGCTTCCAAGTTGAAAAACTATGAACAAGCAATTTATAATTAATTCAGGTTTGACTGTTAAAAGTTTCTTCAAAAGTGATTGCAAAGTAATATAATTTCCTAAGATAACTTAAGCAGCATTTAATAAGGTTAAGGATAATGCACATCCAGTCGGTTGTTATCGCAGAATAACCCCCGACAGGGTGATTAGGACCCTGACGCGAATAATAATAATTAGGTATGAAATATTGATTTGAGTTGAAATATTTAAACGCAAAGCTTCTGTGAAGAAAGCAGCTGGTAGCAAACGGCAAGTGCAAACTAGACGGACATTTAAGGGATGCAGTACAGTCATACCACTTATTACACAACATTTCATCACACAAATAATTGTGGCGATAAAAGATATTGATTAAGATGAAACACTTAAAATGCTACCAGTTTGTTAGTTATCTTATAATCCATTACAGTGTACAACAAACGTCACAAAATGGCAGCAGCTGTGTTTGTATGAAACAAGAGAGCGAGTTGGCAATACCAGGATGACATCATTTAATAATTATACACATAATATCGAATTGAGTTTTAATATTTTCTTAGCTAACCAAATGCAAAAACTGTTCCTAGAAAGCATATAGTGCTGATTTCAGTTACCCGGATGACCCTGTGCTATCAGCCTTTACCGGTTGTTATTAAGGAATAACATACTTCGGAATGTTGCGACTGACCAATCAGAATCCACAGAGCCATGTAATATAAAATACGTTTAAAGGATACTAGACTCTGGTATTAACAGCATATCAGTGGATCTTCTTTTGATATTTAGAATCTGTGCGTGATTCTGGAATGTCCTTTCAGTTTGTAGTTTGTACACTTATCCCATTCATTTTGTCTTTTGTTGATGACGTAAGGTACTACGGTAGTTATCATAAACCAAAATATAATATTTTTTCTGTCAGTTTTAGTAATAAAAAGTGCTTAGATTTATCAGTGTAGCAATAGAAATGTCCAGATTTAAGAAACACCCACGTGGAAAGACTTAACATAGTTAACCACCCTTATCCATGTACATGATTGCATCATCCTAAGAACATGTGCGTGTATTCACACATGCCTGCACACACCCCTTAAACTCACGCATGGACACACACAGTAATGACACGGCCCATGTCATTACACTCATGACCACAACATGCCCTGAATACAGAGACAGAATGCTGAAACAAACAGATCAACTGCTCCGAAATGACAATCCAAACAAACAAAAACACTCACAGCTTATGAATCTTTGTCAAGAACATTATTAACACTTTTGAAAACTGCTCCGCTTTCATTCAGTATGATGATTAATTCCATCCGTCAAAAAACTAACAAGGAAAACGCAGCGGACAAAAGCCCCTGTACTTCCACTCTGCTTGATTTATGATGTCAGAAATGGTCATTGTCCTTGAAAAACACTGAAGGCAGTCAAGGCTGCAAGGGCCGTAACAGTGCGGCCCGTTCTGATGGAGAGAGGTGTTAATGATGAGTGAGCAAAGAGAAAGGATGGGCGGCAGTAAATTACACATGCCATACTTTATTCTGAGGCTGTCAGTTTAGGAGAAATAAAATGCCTTTTGTTTTTGTGCCTGCGTGTCTCCGATGAGAACCTTAAACATGCTCATGTTACGCACATACAAATACTCATGGGGAGGATTCACTAAGAATGAATGAGCCCGCTGATAGAGCCATTTATTTGCACCTGCTGTCTGCATTAAGGGCCCGATTCACTAAAGGAATTATGCAAATCAGGTAACGGTGCAAATGTGCCCATAAAATCTTTGCAAAAGTAAAGCTGCATGGCACGATTCCCCATTTGTAGGTTCAGGTTTTAGAACAAACAAATATACTAGTGTACTTTACTTGGACTATACAGTATCACGCCACATTTCAAGAAAAAAATAAGACAAATGTTTCTTAAAATAACTGAAATAATTAACATGAAATAAAATGAAATAATCTAATAAAACAAAACAAAACAAAACAAATAAAATAAAATAAGAAAGTAGACAGTAGAGCATGGAGTTAGCAATGTCAAAGTCATGGGTTCGATACTCAGGGAATGCATGAACTGATAAAATGTTTATTAAAAATAACTAGTAAATAGTTAATATAGTAACTATTCATAACTAGTACAGGCAACGGTGCAAATGTGCCCGCAAAATCTCTGCAAAACTAAATCTGCATGGCACGATTCGTCATTTTTTGGTTTAGGTTGTGAAATAAGCAGCAGACTATTGCAATCTAGTGTACTTTACTCGGATTATACAGTATCACTCTATCTTTCAAGAAGAAATAAAACAAATGTCTCTTAAAATAATCTAAATGATAAAATGCATAACATTAAATAATAAAATAAAATAATCAAATAAAACAGAAAAATAATAAATAATAAAAAAATTAAAAATAAAATAAAATAAAAGGGTGTCGCATTAGCTACGTCAAAGTCATGGGTTTGATTCTCATGGAGTGCATGAACTGATAAAATGCACACCCTGAATGCAATGCTAGTCGCTTTATATAAAAGTGTCTGCCAAATGCATAAATGTTAATGGGAGTGTATAAATATAGTGTAGCATTTAGAGTTTTGCATGGAAATCAAGAAGGGGTGCAAGAAGTGCTGAATATAATGACCATGACAATGAACTGCAGGCTGTCAGTTAGATGCAGGTTTAAGTTGAAATACTGCATGCAAAAGTGGTGCAACTGTATGAAATCATCCGTCATTTTTCTCACACTCAACTCATGCACACATATGCACACGTGGTGTTAGTTTAACATGCAAAAGCAGTTCTGATAATGAGCCCGTCTCTTCACTTCATACCTTTGTCTGTCTATTTTGCTGGACCTCTGTAGTTTGTCTCTATGAGATGCAGAGCTGCACTATCAGAGGACTCTATCAGAGTATGGCTATTTTCAACATGCAACTCAATCTGCCCAAACTCCCTCTCAATGCTGTATTTGTGTGTGTGTGTTACAGAAGGATTAAAGGGTCTCAGTTCTGTGACTGTAAATAGAATAATCCTCCCTCCCATACAAGATCACACACTCTTCTTTGAGGGGTAGGGTGTCAGACAAGTGCCTTGAGTAAGAACAGCATGATTAGCCAGCCGTGCTGTGACACTTAAGCTGTACGGAGAGGAGGGGGCATCCCAAAAGTTAAGACACAACATGCACAAAGACACACATACATAGAAGTGACTGTTGGTAGGAGTCAAGAGATCATTCTACAGTCCTGCTTTAGAATTGGATGTTTGGTTGAATATTTAAAAAGAAATTTGAATATTTCAAAAATGAAAACTAT